GAATCCCATTGGCTCCATTCAGTAATTATGTAAGTAGAAGTATTTATAACTATCACTAGGTATAGTTTTGAAAATACTTAAACCTAGATTTCATTTGTATCATGGTACATCTTTCTAAGGTTAGGGTGGATAAAAACTCCAGAATTATGAGGTATGAATGAACAAATTTAAGATTCTTTGTTTTTTTATTAGTTTGCTTATCATATAAGAAGTAGGACTTCTTCCCCCCCCCCCATTTTCTATGAGAACACTACGTATTTTGCTAATCAAAATGGTTAGCTGGAACAAATTAACCTTTCCCTATGTTAAAAGATTATTTTCCACAAAAGGAGACAGGGGAGTAAAATCATACATTACACAGAAAACAAACATGTTGAAGATTTTTATTTAACTTACTAACAAGGGAACTGCTAAGATGTTTATAACCAGTTTAAATGACAATAAAAAGTATAGACCTTTTTATGGAGCAGGAATATTGAAATAAATGTGAGAATGGAGGAAAAACTGGCTTCTTCCACAGTAGGGCAGGATAATTCCTTGAATCTCTACCAGGTAGAATTTATAGAAACACAGACAAAAGTGCAATGCCTGTGGTTCAGTGGGTAGGGTGCTGGCCCCCATATACTGAGGGTGGCGGGTTCAAACTCAGCCCTGGCCAAACTGCAACAACAACAACAAAAAATAGCCTGGCGTTGTGGCCAGTGCCTGTAGTCTCAGCTCCTCGGGAAGCTGAGTCAAGAGAATCACTTAAGCCCAGGAGTTGGAGGTTGCTATGAACTGTTGGACGCCTCAGCACTTTGCTGAGGGTGATAAAGTAAGACGCTGTCTACCAAAAAAAAAGAAAAAAAATACAAAAATTATTTTGCATTGTTGCTAGTTATCTACATTTGACAGTTATAAAATAACACAAAAGGGATAAAAGACTCAGTCGCCCCTTGTAATCAGAATATGAAAACCTAGAAGGCTGTGCTTTCTTTATTTTTTGAGACAGTCTTACTCTATCACGCTCAGTAGAGTGCTGTGACGTCACAGCTCACAGCAACCTCCAACTGTTGGGCTTAAGCGATTCTCTTGCCTCAGTCTCCCAAATAGCTGGGACTACAGACACCCGCCACAACACCCAGCTATTTTTTGTTGCAGTTGCCACTGCTATTTTAGTGAACCTGCCACCTTCAGTATATGGGGCTTGTGCCCTGCCCACTGAGCCCCGGGCACTGCCCCAGGCTGTGCTTTCAACAGCACATTTTTCTATCAAAGTCGGTATTTTTCTCTGTCCCTATTTTATCAAATTTAAAAATTCCTCCCCCGCCATAATCTCCCCTAGTGTTGGACTTACTGGAAGGCAAGTACATGTGTGTTTTTCTACTTAATGTATTTGAAGTTTAGAAGATGCTTGTTGAATTTTTTTAATTATCTGAAGCAGTTCTTCTCAAACTGTCATTTGCTTACAGATCACCTGGGCATCTTAATTTTTAAATGCACATCCTGATTCAGTGGGTCTAGGGCTGATAATGACCCTACATTTTCACTAGGGTTCCAGCTGATGCCAGTGCTGTTTCGTAGATAGCAAATAGTGATTCATTTCTGACTCTATTAGTTAAGGAAGGGGAAAGATGAATTATTAAGGAAGAAAATAGCACTGTACTGTAGGTGAGGGGAAAAACATGAAGCTGCTGGACTGTCACTTGAAGAAAATAGGTATTAATTTTAGGCCACATTGCCAGAACACAAATCAAAATGAGCAGTAACAGTTGCTAGGAAACAGATCCAGAGAGCTCTGTAGCAAAACTTTAGCTTAGACAAGGACAGAAAAAACCAGAAATGAGGACATAAGGAATATAACAGAGGAGGAGCGACCAGAAGGTATAACCTTTAGGGTAACTAAAGGGTAAAAATTTATTATGGCTATAAAGATAAGGTTTCTAAAAGAAATTCCCTAAGTCACAGAATGTTTTTCCTATCAAATATTATCAGGGCAGCTCAAGTTTTGAATACTAAGAAACAACTTTATGATTAAAAAAATCATTATAGATTAGTGGCTATAAGATAGTAGTAGTTTGCTGCAAATATAATGAATCTGTGGTGTTGTTAATAATATATTACATGTAAGAGATTTGTATAAGGTGCTGAAGGATGGTTGATCTAGTTTCTCTATATTGACTTAAAATCAGAGCCAGAGTTGTGTCACATGTTTGATTGTTTTATAATCTTATTTCTGGCCTCTTCCTTTTCTTTTTCCCCCTCCTTTGTTAATCCTAATCTAGTTTTCTGTTTAAAGAAAAATCTGATTATACAAGCCATTTTCTCAGCTAAGAGTAGGCCCTATATTTTAAATTTTGAAAGTTGATTGAAACAATAAAGGAACTTAATAAATAACACTGTTTAAAATTCAGTTTTGAATTTATTTATGATTTTTTTTAACTTTCTAAATTTAGTATTTTGACTTAAAACAGATGTATAGCTATTGACCTCTTTTTTTTTTTTTTTTTTAGACAGAGTCTTAAGCTGTTGCCTGGGTAGAGTGCCATGGCATCATAGCTCTTAGCAACCTTCAACTCTTGGGCTGAAGTGATACTCTTGCTTCAGTTTTTCTATTTTTAGTAGAGACAAGGTCTTGCTTTTGCTTAGGTTGGCCTGGAACTCTGAGCTCAAGCAATCCACAGGCCTCAGCCTCCTAGAGTGCTAGGATTACAGGCATGAGCCAGGACTCCCCAACCCCATTGACCATTTTTTGTTACTTGGGTCTTTTCTTTGTATGTGGTTTTACTGATTATAGTTTCTACTGAAACCACATCAGAAGCATTTAAAATTTCAAACCAGTTCTTTGTTGTTTTTAATGAGGAGCAAAGCTTCAAAACCACAAAATTGTAGAATCCTAGATTTCATAATACCTCCCTACCACCCATTTTTTCAGTGGATCATATCTTAACAGTTTTTTCCTAGTGACTTGGATTTGTTGCATCTTTTCTTATAAATTCAACTTAGAAAAAAAAAATGCAACTTAGTTGTTTTTTTTTTTCCCTTTGCATTTTTGGCCTGGCCAGGCATGAGCCTGCCACCCCACCCCCACCCCCATAATATGGGACCCCCTCCTGGAGCCACAGGCACTACCCTCAACTTAGTTTTTTAATTTGCTTTGAAAAGTTGTCATAAAAAATTTCAAATAGGAAGTATAGAAAATAGTGAGGCATGTGTTTATATGCCACCATGCTTTTCTGTAATTCTATTTGAAAAAAAAATTTTTTCCTCAGAAGTATCCACAGATTTGGCATCTTTTACTCTGGTATATATGGACTATATTTTAGTATATGTTAATGTTTACATCCATAAATCTTACATACCATTTTATGTGTTTAAAATTTTACATGAATGATAACACTGTATGTCCTTTGGCAGTTTTTTTCACTTCAGATTTGTCTTTTGAGGTTTATCAGTGCTGATTCCTATAATTCATGCAGTTTATTCATTTTAACTCTCTTATACAAGTCCCTTGAATGAGTAACCCATAATTTGTCTTTGACAATTAAGTTATTTCTCATCTTCTACTACCCAAAATAGTGAATACTGAAAGTTTTTGGAGAGATTTTTCTTAAGCATAGAAGTCTAAAACTGAAAGTGCTTGGTCCAGAGGTAGGTACTTCTTCAGTTTGCAAGAAACTACAAAACATTGTACAGCAGTTGGAGCAGTGTACATTCCTACCAAAGTGTAAGGGGCCTCTCAGAGTTGGCCCCATCTCAGCCAGCATTAGAATATTAGAGTTGTCAATTTTTTTCAAGCAAACGTTTGACAAATGGTATTTAATTTAGTTTCTTAGGAACTGTGAGGTAAGCACTTTGTATTAATTTATTAGCTTTAGTCTCTTTCTCTATGAATTGCCTATCTGTTTAGTTTTCCAGTGGGTTCTTAGTTATTTTCTAATTGATGCCTAGAAGTCAGGAAGTTTTTAAATATTTGGGATAATCTGATAACACCTTCATGTGTGATTTTTTTTTTCTGTTATGTAGAAATGTATGTAATTTTGACATAATGAAATGTATTAGTCTTTTTCTTGGATATGTGCTTTTTTCTTTGAAAACGTCTTCCCTATTCCCATAATACAAAATGTTCTTTACTTTCTCATTTTTACGTTTTTTTCTTTTCATATTTAATTCTTTAATCCATCTGTAATTGAGTTTTGTTTGTGCAAAAGAAATCCTGTCCTTTTTTCATTTGTTAGCTAATATTCTTTCCAGATTAATGTGTAATGTCCATTAATTATAGTACTACGTGTCATGCACCAAGCCCTCATCTATTCATGGTATCTATTTTGTACCAGTACCACCCTGTTTAATACTAATAGCTTCATAGTAAATCAGTATCTAAGTTTATTTTCCTTCGGGATTATCTTGACTTTCTAGGACCTTTACTCTTTTATTTAGACCAGTTTGCTAAATTCTAAGAGGGTGAGAGTAGAATAGTTGATGGAATTTTGATTGGAATAGCATTGAATTGATAGCTGAATTCCTGGAGGACTGACATGTTCACTGTAGTCAGTCTTCCCAGGATATATATAGCTATATTTATTTAGGGTATCATTGTTGTCTTTGTATTTGGTAATTTCCTCCATGAAACCTTTTGTAATATTTGTATATTTCATGAGGTATCTTAAAGTGTTTTTGGTTTCCAGCATTTCTTTTGAATTCTCTTACTAATTCTAATAGTTTGTTGACTGTCTCATATTTCTCTTGTAGATGCTTATTTTTGGATAATTTATTTCTTCCTTTCGAATCATTATGTGATCTTAAATAGAATCTGTGACAGCAGATTTTCTTGCATAGTTTTGACTTTACAGGGATCTGTCTTATAGTTGATTGAATATAATGGTTATTGTAGCCTTTTGGTGAATACCTTTCTGTTGCTCACTTGCTTTTAAATGGGTATTAAATTTAATCTAATGCTTTTTCAGTTTCTCCGATAGAAAAATTTGCATCAAAAGTCTGATTCCTGTAATATTTTCTAGGGTGATCAGCATATGACCTACTAAAGAGAGATCTCTAAACAAAATAAGTGGGAAAATTAGATGGAGCCAAGAATGATGGATCCGTGTTCAGTTGGAGTCCAGCTTCGTACCACAAATGAGTGCCACAAAACCTACTATACTCGTCACACAGGTTTCAAGACCTTGCAAGAATTGTCATCAAATGACATGCTCTTACTTCAACTTAGAACTGGAATGACACTTTCTGGGAACAATACAATTTGCTTTCATCATGTAAAAATTTACATTGACAGATTTGAGGATTTGCAGAAATCATGTTGTGACCCATTTAACATACACAAAAAACTAGCCAAAAAAAATTTGCATGTAATTGACTTAGATGATGCCACTTTTCTGAGTGCAAAATTTGGAAGACAACTTGTACCTGGTTGGAAGCTTTGTCCAAAATGTACACAGATAATTAATGGAAGTGTGGATGTTGATTCTGAGGACCGCCAGAGAAGAAAACCTGAATCAGATGTGTGTATCATAGTCATTTTTGCTACTATGTGACTTCTACAATGTGAAGTTTTATTTAACTCTAAAGAAATCATATTTACATAATAATTATACTTACTAGCATACATGGATTTAAAGTTGGGGAAGTAAAAGTAGATGGTATTTCTGAATATTTCCATATACCCAAGGTCAAGACTGAGTGATAAAGTAGGCCTGGGAAAGGAATGATACCATATGCCTGAGAATCCAGTGTACAACTTTTAGTGCTGAGGAATGAGGAGTGGCTTTTAGAACATTCTGGCAAAACCAAAATTTAGTTTCTTTACTAGTACCAAAGTAATCAGTGATACATGCCAGCCAGCAAGGGTCTTTATTTATAGCAGGAAGAATTCTCTTTTTTATGAAAGACATGGAAATAACTGCTCAGTAGCATCAGAGAAGAGACTAGCAACAATTGTTTTTCATTTAAATTTTTGTTTCTCCTTTAACACTATCCCATCCTAGTTTGAGTTTTTTTAAATGCTTGTGAGTTTGCTTTTACTTGCTGGGGTCAAGGCTAATTTTAGGACTCCCTGCAGTCAAGAAGCATACATTTGCATTGTGAAGTATTAAATATTTTATCCCTCTCTCCCTTGTTCACCTGCCTACGTGCAAATTATTTAACCACATCAGAGCAATTTAAGTTTTCATAAAGCAATCTTTCCTGTTGAACAAGGACAAGTATGTCAAGGGAGCAGTTTCTCCAAATTTTTACTGATCATTTTGTTATTCTTTCCACTGGAATATTTCTCAATTTTTTCCTTATTAGTAAACCAAATTGAAAATAATAATTAAAAATTTCAATTGTATATAGCATTTTCCTTTTATTGTCTCCTTCAGAGGCATATCTCCAGGACCCAGTGTTACCTGCAGCTTATATGAGAATACTTGCTGGTACTGTCACTCTAGATACCTTCACCTTATCTAGCCATTGCTCTTGTAGAAATGCCTTGTGCTCTTTGGTTTCCCCCCAAAATAAAAAATTTGAACCCATAAGGACAAAATTTTGTTTTATGGATGCATTTTTTAAAAAATTATAATTCAGAACTTGAAACAATATTTGCTTTTAAAAATATATAAAATACAGTAACAGAGCCTTTTCTGAAGGACCTGGGATTGTTATGTGTGATTGGGTTACACAGCAGTTTTCTGCTTTTCTATTATTCTGGCAACAGCCATTGCAGTTTTCACCATGCTTGTCATCCTCTGTTCCTGATATGCCAGAGACTAAACTAATGGCAGTGTTATTAATAAATCAACCAATAAGCTTTGGATATGGTTTGGGGCCATTCAATTTTATTACACTTGGGCTCTAAAATATTTTTTCTTTTTTATATGTTCCAGTTTAAAGAATAATCTGAATTAATGTTAAGTATAAGTTTTTTTATAGTCTGATGTCAAGATTTGAGATGATCATTTGTTTGCCTTTATTCAGGGAAGAACTGCTAAAGCTTTGAGGTCATTACAATTCACAAATCCAGGAAAGCAAACTGAATTTACTCCAGAAACTGGTAAAAGAGAAAAAAGAAGGCTTACCAAAAATACATCTGCTGGTTCAGACAGGTAACTATGTGTTCACTGAAGACTTAGGCTAACTGGCTGTGTCACATCTGTCTTGTCCCCATTTTTCTCTTAAATTTTGAATTTTCTGGGTAGAGGTTTTAGGATTCAATAATGTGAAATAAGTAAAAATCTCCGAAAGCCTTTCTTTTATTCATATAAAATAAAAACAACCCTTTTAACTCTAAAATTTGTTTTTGAGAAGGCAGTAGTGAAGTGAATAAGATCCTTTTGGCATGAGAGTTAAAATAATTGAAACATACGTCTTACAGTTAATTCGCTTTTTGGGAAAACATCAATATTATATACAGGCATACTTTGTTTTATCTTCACTTTATTATGCTTTTTAGATAGTTTTCTACAAATTGAAATTTTGTGGCAACCCTGTGTTGAACAAGTCTGTTGGTATATTTTTTCAACAGCACATGCTCACTTCGTATCTCTTTGTCATCCTTTGGTAATTCTTGTAATTTTTTTTCTTTTTATTATATCTGATATGGCAGCCTTTGGTATCTTTGATGTTACTGCTATTATAATTTGAGGGGCACTACCAACCACACACGTGAGACGACAGACTTAATTGAAATGTGGCGTGTGTTCTGAGTATTCTACTAACTGGCTGTTCTCTAGCCTCTCACCATTTCCTCCAGCCTTCCTAAATCAAAAGCTAAAAGAAGACATGTCAAAAGCCGTGAGGGGCCAAAAGCTAGGAGGCTTCCTCTACCAGATAGCCAACTAGTTAACAATGTAAAGGAAAAGTTTCTGAAGGAAATGAACAGTGCTCTTCCAATAAACACAAATGATAAGAAAGCAAAACAGGCTTACTGCTGAGATACAGAAGGGGTAAGTGGTCTGGATAGAGTGATCAGACCAGCTACAACATTCCCTTAAGCCAAAGTCTAATCTAGAGCAGGGCCTTAACTCTTCATTCTGCAAAGGCTTTGAGAGGTGAGGAAGTTGCAGGGAAAAAGTTTGAATCTAGCAGAAGTTGGTTCATAAGCTTCAAGGAAAGAAGCTCTGTTTATAAAATAAAAGTACATAGTGAAGCAGCTAGTAATCCAGTTTTGACACGTACCCTTGCATTGGAGGAGTTGCCTCTTAAAGGTGAACAAGTTTCTTGAGATGGAATCTACTCCTGATGAGGATGCTGTGAGCATTGTTGTAACAACAACAAAGGATTTAAAATATCCCATAAACATAGTTGATGAAGCAGCAGCAGGATTTGAGGATTGCCTTCAATTTTGAGAGTAGTTCTGTTGTGGGTAAAAATTCTATCAAATGGCATTGCTAATCAGTTGGCGGCCATCAACATCAAGGTTTTCCACCTGCAAAAAGATTACAACTCACTGAAAGCTCACATAATAGCATCTTTTTGCAATAGACTCATTAATTATGGCTTTTTTTAGACATAAGGGTATTGCATACTCAGATTACAGTATAGCATAAATGTAACTTTTGTATGCACTAGGAAATCAAAAAACTTCTATGACTGGATTTATTGTGATGTTTGCCTTACACAGTCTGTAACTGAACTTGAATATCTCTTGAGTCTGCCTGTAATTAGTAAATCTCTATTCTGTGAGTGGCAGAAAAGTAATACAGCCACTGACAGCATTTGAAAGAAGTCACATGACTGGTCACTGATCATGAAGCACATCTGTTACATACGTGACTTAATAATATCAGTCTCCTAATGGCATGGTTAGAATTTCAGTTATTGCAGTATATTAACTGTGACCAAGCTATTTACTGTAGAATATCACACATAGGACTTGTATATTTTTAAAATATTAAGTCTAGTTATATTTATAACCTGAGTATTTTCTAATGCAAGGTTGCTTTTTATTTTTTACACATCTGAAATAAAAATGCAGTTCTGGTACACTTAGCAGAAAGAATGAGAGAACAATATTGTTTTAGAATTTGACTCTTTAAAACAGATTTTAGTATAATCAGAATTATTTTTAAGTATAATCAGCATTTCTACGTATGCCATTCTATGTGTTAAAATTTAGCATTGAGTAATTTAAATATTTTTAGGCTGAATTTACTAGAGTCCATTAAAAAATGAGAAAAAGATTAATTGCAGGCTCGGCGCCTGTGGCTCAAGCGGCTAAGGCGCCAGCCACATACACCTAAGGTGGCGGGTTCAAATCCCCAGCCCGGGCCCACCAATCGCTTGGAGGTTGCTGTGAGCTGTGACGCC